CTTGATAGAATAAATTGAGCTTTTTGCAACAATAAATAGATCAAAGGTTTTGATCGGTAAATTAATAATAATTTGCTTAATAAGTACCTACACCTACGCTTCAATCGATAGACCAAAATTATTGTTTGTGATAGCTAAAATACTTAAACTTTTGATTTGTCAATATACATTATAGTTAATTTATTTCATAAATATTTGTGATTTGGTTTAATAACTAAAACTTGAAGAATAAAGTTTTCAACAAAATTGGATTTTCGTAGAATACAAGAAATTTTAATTAACATAGAACCACTATCGTTTTATATTTTATGTATTGTGAACTGTTTGGTTATTATCTTTTATTTAATTTGCTCGTGTACAACGTAATCTCAGGGGATGAAACCGTGGAACAGAACGATCAATTAAATGTGGCTTTTGTGTAAAAGTATCCTTCCTTCCTTCCTTCCGACGAACAAAGCGATAATCGTTGAACGTCTTTCGAGGCTTTTTATATGTATATAAAATTGAGAAAAACTAAAATAGGGGTTGTTTTACACAATATGTCAAGCTCATTGTTGGTGGAACTAATGTACAACGTGTGAATGAAAAACCCATCAATCTAAAACGTTCGTTTTAAACCTGAAAATCATGCATCAAACGTGGACGTCGACCAAATACGATATTTTTCATTCGATCACCAAACCAACGTGCACCTATATCCTATACAAGTATATAAGTATAATATATACACCTATCTTGTGCAACAGGCGTCAATCAAACCTTCAGGTATAAAAGAGCTAGTTTTTAATTTTATTCTTTAGAAAATTCATTGTTTTCTGTTATCCACAAGCTGCGAAACACGAACAGCACACGAAACAAATTTAATGGTTCGGTTTTATATTAGTTTATTGTAGACTTTTTGAAACTTGACAATTATTAAAACAATATTTATTTATTTTTTTTTTTTTTGAACCTTTAATCTCTGTGAATGCGTTTATTCTATACAATAAACATAATTATAATTATTTTCTCTTACATTTTCGTATTTAAACAGTTAAAATAAATAACGAGTCTATATGTAGTGTAAAATAATAATTGTTGTATTTACATATAATTATATACATTTATAATAATGCAATATTCTTTACGTTATACCATATGTTAATTAAAAATTTAATTTTTTAAACGTAATTTTATTTTAAATTAAAATGTTTGAAATATCAAAGACAATATACGTAATTCTAATTTCGGATGTGGTGTGTTTAGTAGATTTTGACTTGTTAGTTGTTTAAGAAAGTAATTTATTCACCCAACCTACACGGAAGAAATAACTTTAATTAATTTTAAGTTTTTAAGATAATCAAATACCTGTTTCCGAAGATAATAATTAAAGATTGCATTAGATCTGTTCTCAAAATGTTTCAAAATTATAACTCATAAGGCTATATTTTTCTACTATAGACCATTTTTAAAAACTCTTGAAATATTTTTAGCTACTTTAAAAATATTGAATAATATTTTACACTTTCAGATTTGCTGTACTAGTATCAGTATTCAGTAGTATCCATAATATTCCTCCAAACATTGTATAATTAATTTGTGGCCATATAAATACACGTTTATGACTTAATAACTTATTACAATATTAGAGTTATTTCATAATACATATTTTACATTAAAAAAAAAAAAAAATGTTTATCATGTTGTAAATACTATCATCATTGCATGACTCCTAATTTATTAATAATAATATATTATACCTAACGGTCAATATAAAGTGCATTCGAGTATCATTTTTCAGAATAAAATTTGGAATACGCCGAGAAAAACTACACTGTATATACACCGGCTTCACTATATCTTCATACTTTATATTCAATGTATAATATACAGAAATAACTTTGTCTGGCTCTTTGAGCATTCGTGTCTTGACAATAAGTTCGAGGGAGAAAATTCCCTGCCCTCCGGAAATATATCGGAAGTTGACAATAATGGTATAAAATATATTTGATTCGAAGCGCTTATTATACTGCAGTACTCTTGAAAAGTCTTTTCTATATGGTACAGCTTTCAAACATGATGTTCCAATTATTATTATTATTATTTTTTTGAATACAAATGTTATTCAACCGATAAAGCACAGTGTAAAGTTACTAAGAAGATCAACCATTTATTATGAAAAATTATTGACATTGTGTGATTTATTGTTGTGAAAGCACAATATCACGAATTATTGTCCGTATTCATATTATTTGAGGTACAAATGTGTATGCTTGTAGACGGAGTACGAATAATGTTTAAATTTAATTCCATATACATTCTGCAGAGAATAATGAGATGGATATTGGTTTTACGTTTAGATGGATGTTTTTATTTTCTTTAGAAAAATAACTGCTTTTTGCAGTGTTACAAATGTTCAAACACATTAATATAATTCCTCTAGAGATTATCGCATAGCCATAAGCTGATGCTTCAAAAACACTATTTAAATAGAATCTATTTATTTATTTAAATTACATTCAGGTAAATAGAAATTATCACTTTTATGCTAAATCATTAAATTGCTCAAATATTTTTACAATTTAACTGGAAATCGTTGGTAGAATTATTTACCGAAATTAGCGATATTTTTTATTTTTATTTACTTTTATTATTTCATGTAATTTGAATTTTAAAAAACCAATTAATTTAGTTAATTAATATTTTTATTATATAAAAAAAATATAATTTATATATAAATGTACCAATAATCATATTGAATATTCGCCTTTTAAAAAATAATGATTTAAATAATTAAAAACAATACAAATATAGTTTATTTATATGAACATAATATACATAAATTGTTCATTTTAAATTAACGAATGCAAATTAATAGAGCATTTCTTATCATGGTAATGATCTCAGGACAAAATTGGCCATTAAAGGACATTATAACCAGTTTAGAAGCATTACCATTTACGGTAGAAAAAAAAAACATTAAATCTGTTTACTCGTCGAGAATTTTAATTTATATTAGTTTAATTTATATCTTAATTTTTTTATTAAATGGGTCATTGCTTAAAAATATATTGATGGAGTTAGTTTTAAAAAGTGAAACTAAATTTAATTTAATTCTTAGTTAAAAAAAAGAATTACATATACCTATTACATATTTTGAAATATATTTCTGTAGACCACTAAACGAGTTGTAAATAATTATTGAATCAAAACATTTGAAACGGCTGGTTATAATGAAAGGTTTTAACAACTTAAGTGTATGATACACGCTTCTGATATCCAATACATTCATATGTTTCTCGTTTGCATTGCTTTTTATTATTGTACATTAGTTTTCTTAAAATATTATTTTAGTTGTTTTTAATTACGAATTTAAATCAACTCATTCATACCCCAATAAATGTTAATAATTTATAAGTATTTAATTATATTACTAGCATTTCACATCTTTGTTTATTTATTATACATTTCTACAGTTAGAAAAATATCGGATTAATATTTTGATGTAGAACATGTAATCATAATTATATATTTTTAATAAACATACCTAAGTAATATTTAAAAACATTAGTAAAGTACTTACCGATTTATTTCTGGTTTTTTTTTTTTTGGATATGTGACTAAATATTTATTGTCAAGTATCAATTTTTATTTTTAACTACAAACTAATAATTTTAATATATTGTTTATTTATTTATTTTTTCTTTGAACCCATAAGGATTAAATAAAGTTTAATAATTGTAGGTAGATGTTTAATTACCTATCAAATGTGTAAAATAGTAAGAAAAATTAAAACAATAAATGCATACCTCCTCGTGTAGTATTGTTAGTTAGATATGATAGAATGCTAAATATTTGTGACAATTGTTTATAAGTAATATAAGTTGTTATTATTTGTTAAGATAATTAATTACTTTTTTGAATTACAAACTTTATTCAAGTTTTATCGGGAATTATCATAATTGATTTTTATTTAGGTATTTTATCGCCTAAGTAAAAACATATTTTGATATATTTATTAGTATAATGAAATATACAAATAAATAATCTGTGGAAATGTTGGATTCTCGTGGATAATTTATACGCAATAAAATAATAAAAATAGTTTTCTCGCCTGGTAGGGAATCCGATCTCAGTTACCCGCAGGATTTTCAGTTGTGTTTCGTTAGTTTTTTAAAAATTTCCAGTCAGCTATTAAAATATTTAAAATTTTTTATATTTGTCAATGATAATAATACTGATTACAGCAAATGTTAAAATCCATAAAGAAGAATTAAAAATGTATTTTTTAGATACAGAAAAAAAATTAGAATCTGCTAATACAAAATGTGTAGATTTAAGAACTTGAGATGCATTAGTAATTAACAATAATGCCATTAAATAATACCGAGTAGAAAATTAAATCAATAATTAAAATATTTAAAACTCCGTACGATATTGAAATAGATATTATATTAATGATTAATAATTATATATATTATATTAGATAAATTATCCAATATTGGATTCGTTATATTTTACCAATAAAACTGAACAATTCACAATAGTTATGTTCTATTTTGAATAAATCATGTTTAAGTATAAAATTTAAGAAAATAGTTTTAAATGCATATATGCATTTAAAAAAATAATCATACCTACTATATTTGTTCCGAGTAAATTATATAAATGAACAATATTATTATACATTTGGTATAAATTTCAAAAATATAATTTGTATTTTTATTGATAATATTATCAAGAAAAATGTTTTAAAAATCGTTTTATTTTCTGGGCGGTTAATTCAATTTGAAAGTACGGTTCTATACGCTATGGTGATTATTTTATCAATAGATTAATTTATTTTCCATTTTCTTAAAGTCATTAAAACACAATGTTTTTTAGAAAACAAATTATAATATTCATCATTTTTTTTTTATATGTTACTCAACGAACGTCGTTTTTAAATAAAATATTAGCATTTAATAAGTAGTATGATCATTATTATAGGTAATATAATTGTCGTAATATTATGTTTATAGAACTGAGCGAAGCTGTCCATAAGGCAAAGGAGGAAGAAATCCAAATACCGTTCGGAGTTGGAGTGGCGGGAACAGTGGCGGAAACAAAGCAAGTCGTCAACATCAGAAACGCATATCAGGTAGGGGTAACAATACGATTTACGTGCACCATTCTGTTTGTGATGGCAATTTAAAAAATAAACTCCTTGAGACCCTTTTAGTACATTATTTTCTATTTGGGTTCGGCAAGTGGGTTTGGCATATATTGTCCGATCGAATGATTAATATTATATTATATAATATTATTATTAGAATTTCAGTGCCTTAAAAGTTGTATACAGTTTAAAAATAACTTGAAAATCTCAAATGATACATAAAAAAATCATTTTTAATATTCAAGAAAGGTGGAAAAGTGTGTAACGTTCTAAAATATAGTAAGCGTCGAGTATAACTAAAAAACAAATATGTTAGATTTGAATTTAATGATTTATTTTACTATAAGTATAACAATAGGTTGATTAACTTTTACTGGAAACATTATATTTATTATATTATTAATATTTCATTATTATAATAATAAAATAAATAATTTAAACCGTAATGTATTATTGTTATTAACTTTTGAGTCAACACCACTTTATCATAGAACAGTGTAAATAGGTTCATATCATATAAATAGGTAAAATGTTTAATACACGTAGTGATTTTAAGTCACCACCAATAATTTTTTAAGATTATAATAAAATAATAAATATTATTATTCATCGTTTAAATTTGTTATTTAGTCCAATGAGAACTTCAAATAATAAATAATAATGCTTATATATTTTTTTAGAGTTTTTAAATCCAAAATTAAATACCTATGAAAAATATTTTATGCATATTTAAATTTAAATTACCTATGAAGTTTTTTCATAAAATTTAATAATTTAATATAATTTTTTTTAATTTTTGTGATTTTGAGAAATTTTATACAAATTTATTTAAAATACGTTTATAAAAAATAAAACTGTGCCTATACATTTTTCTTGTTTTAATATTTTTAAAAAATATTTTTTCAGAATAATATTTTATCAATATTTGTAAAATAAAAAACTAAAAATCTCGATAATTTCTCATGCTAGTCATTAGTTTAAAATATATTGAAAATATTACTATTCATAAAAAAATTATTGTAAATTTAATAAATTTAAGTATCTACGATTATTTGTTATTGACTTATAATAAAATAAAAAAGAATAATTTAGTAAAAAATTTCCCGCTATCCTTAATTTATTTTTGTTTTTTTCCTATTATCAAAAAAATACCTATGACTTTTTATTTTTGACCTCCAAAATACCAACTAGATTCAGTTGTCAATGCATAAGTTATCCTTAAATTTGAAAATTGAAGCATTTTTACTGTTCCAAAAAATAATAATACAAAAAAAAAAAATACATCATTGTAAAATAAAAATATTCATCGCTCCGTTTAGAATCTTAAATAAAAATAAAATGCAGGAATCAAAAAAAAAAAAGTAAGAAATTTGAATTATGATTCATAAAATGTGTATGTTTTGATACGCTCCTATTTCTAATCTTAATTTGTCTCATATCAGTAATTACAAATTTTTTTATTATTTTTGAACTAAAATTGAAACAGTATAACAAAAAATACTTTAAAAAAAAAAAAAAACCATAACATTTTTAAAAATAAAAAAAAGAATATACTTTTAAAGTTGTATTAAAATAACTAGTCTGTACAGCGTATTATCTATGTATGAAACGCATATTCCACTTAGGCGGCTACATTATTAATTACCCAAACACACAAAATAAAAATACGTCAAAATCCCCGCTCTATATTTTATTATTACACGCTATTACAGCGCCCGTAGGTACCATTAAATACGAGTACAATGAATTTTAATGATAAAAATTTAAAAAAAAAATGCTCAGACTTAAACAGGAATATAAAGAGCAGGTGACAAACGAAAACCTATAATGAGTGATTAAATTGCATTATACATCGGCCCGCGGGTATTGCCGATTGAGAGGATGATCACATTGGTATTACTGTGTCGGTGTCCGTCCTGAACCTTCGTTATTAATTATTTGTCATTATCGATGGCGAACGCGTATTTTGAATCGAATAATACAACGTACGAATTTTGATAATTACCATTTAAAATACAGATATGGTGGTTGTCCGTATATTATACTTGTGTATTTTTTATGAATGTATAAAATGCAAATTGGCAACAGTTCAAAAATTTTACTGTATGAACAACAACAAAAAAAAGTTTACAACACGTTATATATGTATACAATAGCCTGTCCAAATTATACGTTTCCAAAAGTTCAGAAGTTACGATAAACGATACCAGTTGTATTAGTTTGTATTTCGTCTTTTAAGTATCAAATTACCATAATTTTCAATCCACTGCCACTTTTTTGTTTTTCCATTTTTATTGATTTCATAAATTAACATTTATATTTCTTACAGTTTAATTTTTAACAATAAATATAATACAAACATACTGATATTGTTTGTTTAAAAATGATATAATATACAAGTAATATATAGTGTGCAATTATATTTTAATTTTTTTTTAAATTTAGTTCCAATCATTATTTTAAATTTTATAGGTATAAGACTTAATTTACCTATACTTTAGGCACTAGAGCTTAGAATACACATTTCGACTACGTTAAACATGTTTTTATAACTGATCGTGCTCAATTATAAAATTAAAACGTTTAAAATAAAATGAATATGCCATACAATATTTTTAAAATGTAATAAAATATGATGCATCTAATTATTATTTGTTGACAAAATTTCTATAATATGTATTAATGAAATATATCCATACAATTATCAAAATAAACCTGTTAATTAAGTTCTAAGATTTAAATTGCTTGTTCTGTCATGTAAAATGTTTATCAATGATTTGATGTTTGTCATAACCTCTTAAATAAAAAAAAAAACACTACATCAAAATAATGTGTTATATTTTTAATGTTTTAACTTAAAGATTTGAAATATACTATTTATGATTTCGATTATTTTATTTTTATATTTCTTTTCACATTCATCTTTAGAGACGACAAGTATAATGATTTAGAGAGATGGAGAATAAAGTGGATAAACTTTTCAAGTACCTACTCGAAAAAAAAACTTTTTAACATAATTTTAAGGAAAGCTATAGTACGAGGAAAGTTTATTTTAATGAAATAAAGTTATCGAGTCCATAAATTTTTAAAGCATATTATATTTTAATAATGTTTTGGTCAAACTTTAAAAAAAAAAAAAAATAATAAAAATATAAATAAATGAATTACAGTAAATTTTTAATTTAAGAAATGTATTTCCATTTAATATCTCAATATATATTTATTAAGCTATTCAAAATCGCTATTTTTTTTCATTTAAAATAATTTATTAACATATTTTATTATTTTATTTATTTACATCTTAAGAACTATTATTTTTTTTTTTTTGTGTATACCTTTAATTAAGTTAATTTATATTATCAGCATGCTAATATTTGAAAATTTAATTTCAATAATTATAATGAATGAATATTAATAGTTAATTAAATTATGATTAAGATAAATATGAACCATTAGATTTTTTTTGTAGTTTATTAATCAAAATTATTATTATAATTATTATTTTGTTAATATAAAATTATTTGAATCAGTACTTAAGTGAGTAGATTCATGAAATTGTATATATTAAAAATAAAAATCTTATTTATAATGATTTAATAAAATACAAAAATATTTAATCTAGTCACTTGAAAAAAATAAAAAAAAAATATATATAAAATAATTATAAATTTATATAAATTACTATAATTTAAAATTATTATAGGTCTAATATTTTTAAAACATATTATTTTGTGTTATTATTCTTAATAGCTAAAATTTGGTAATTCGATAAATACTTGTTTAAATTTGAATTTAAACATAAAAAACATACTAAAATTCAATCTCCATCTTACTTATTTCTATGAACAAGAGTTTAAAAAATAAAAACATTGCCATATTTGTATTGTTTAGAATACTCCTTATATTTCATGAAAAATTAAAGTTTTTAAATATAAACGGTAGGATTAAGTTATTTGCTGTATCAATATGTGTAACTGCAAAGATTTTAAAGTTAAATCCATTATCCAAATGGTGTTAATGTTATTATTATTGTGACTTGTTTGTTCATAAAATTAGTTCTAGGAATTTTTTTTCGACAAATAACTAATATGGCTTTGTAAGTATTGGTGATTCATATGTTGGCCAAGTAACCATCATAAAAATACTCTGAACAAATATATTGGCTAATATTCAATATGTATACATTAAAGTACCCATGTAATGACATTGGAATGGGAAAAATATTTTGTTAGAAAATATCTTAAACAGCTTATTTTTATATTAGTTAGTTGTTAAAATAATTAATTAGGCTTATGCAAAAAACATATATTTTTTTTTAAATTTACTTTCTAAAAAACTATTATCTTGGTAATTTTTATTTATCGAACATTTGATTGTTGATCATAATTTTAAATAGTTACAACTTACAGTATATAGATATAATTTTATAGTACTTTGATTAAATACATTATCAAAGGAAATTATTTACTAACCGAGTAGCTATTAAAAATTTTGCGGATACATTGAAATACAATTTATTTATATAATAATATTATATCATATTGTATGATCAGATCGTATTATTATTATATTATTTATACAGAAAAATATTGTTAAACGATAATGGATTTCAAGTAAAATGTATAATATATCATTATTTGTCAATAAAATTGAACCGCTCTGATTAAACTATTACATTAATTTTGGTTGATATATTAAAATTCACGTAAAATTGTATTCAGCACATATCTACCAATTCAATAAAGCTAAAAATATAGATATTTAGTTATATTTACTACAAGAAAACTTAAATCAAAAATGTTTTCGTGTTCCCAATCCCACGACATAAAACTATTAATAACTTTAAGGTTTTCAACTTAAATTTTAAATTTTAACCTGAAGTAATCTCTTAAGGAATTTTTCAATACGTTTTAGAATATATCCTGACATCAAATGAAAAACATAAAATTCATTATTATGTTATTATAAATACAAAAAAAAAAGAA